ATCAAATTAATTTAATTATGTTTTTTATGATGAAAATTATTTTAAGATTATTATTTGATTTTTTATGAACCCCTGAAAATTTTATTTATAATTTTTTGATTTATAAAATTAAAGATATTGATTTTAGAATTGTTTAAATATTCAAATAATATTCTAAAATCTTTTTATCAATTTTAAAGATATAAAAATATCATGGGGGCCCATTGTGCATATGGGCCCACCATATTTTTAGAAAGTGGGGTCTATGAGTGCCTCCCTTGGGTGGCACGCCCCACCCTTATTCTCTTTCCTATTTTTTGGTGATATGGCATGTGGCCATATGGTTGGAAGATATTAACTTAATATATCTTTGAAATATTTTGTGAAAAGATTGAGTAGACATGTGCTATTTTATGATATGCACAATATTTTGATTCGATTTAATTTATTTAATTTCTATTTATGGAAAAATGGTTTAGAAAAAGAGAATAATGGTTCATGCACCTTCTATAATGTTGGTGGCTCATCTAAAGAATAGATGGCTCAGATCTCTCACTCTACAAGTCACCCATGATTGACAGTCTATGTTCAATCTCACAATAAGATGTAAGCCAAAGAAAACCCTAAGAAACCCTAATCTTATTCAAAATCTATAAAAAGAGATTGTCTCTACCAAAAATCTCTACACATTATCTTTCTATTTTTCTCTATTAATAAAGTTTCTCTCTCATATTTGATCTTTCTCTCTCCCACTTTGTAAAAGAACCTAAAGGTTTCGGTTATGGAGTTATTCTCTCTTCTATCTCTCAAATATGTTTATGGCTAAGAGTTTTGGGGTTTACAAAAAAGGTAATCTATCTCTCTCATACTAGGTTGCTAAAAGAATTCACCTAGGGTTTGAGTTTGTGATCAAAGGGGTTCATGTTCCATTGGTGTCGCTTGACCGAAATTTGCTTTCCCGATTCGAGATTGAAGCTAGACCGTTGATCCCGCGCCATCGAATGGTGGTAACTTAGTGTAGAGTGTAATAAGCACGGTTGAGGTAATCTCCGGCACGCTTTCTTTTGTTTCTTGCAATCTTATCTTTTATTCTCAAGCATAGTACATAATTGTTTCATAGCATCAAGTTGTTAAGATCTTGGTTTTATTGTTATGTTGATTTTATTTTGAAATTTATCTTATTATAATAAATACCACCTGTAAGTGATCTTTTGCCAAAATAAAGGGGTGAAAAAAAAAAAAAAAATGTATTCCCTGATAAATGATCTCATAGGTCTTTCTTTCCAGTAAGGTTGCAACCAACTAGAAAGCCAGCCTACTTTCCCAAAGTAGTGTTTCTTTTGGATGGAGATCTATGAGGAATGAGAGGAAGAAGATGGTAAGAGGGATAGGTGACCTCCTGAGGAGATCGCTTGCGCCTCTTTTGATCATGGGGAAGTCACCGAGGCGATCAAGAGCGTTGGTTGTGTAGTGGAAAGCTCTTTCTCTCCACATTCCAAATATAATTTTGGTTTAGGGGATTGGGCTGGACATACCTAGGGTTTAGCTTACTCTCCAGGTATGAAATGGATGGGCAATATTAAGTTTTTTTTTTTTTTTGCTTTCAGTGTTGGATCTTGAAAGTCGCTCTTATGCTTCAGGTGGTTAGAGTACGTGGTCGATTGTTATATTTGGGGAAGTGAAAGAGTTCAGATTATGTGTCCTTAGTTCTTAAGCATGCTTCCTGGATTAGATTTTGGCGAGTTCTTATTCATGTGTGGAGTCTGAATGTATTTCACGTCTTGGCAACTCTTATAGGGGTTTTCTGGGTATTGATTGGAAGGGGTTGAAAAGTGATGATTTGTCTTTTGTTAGAGTGCAGGTCAATCGAAATGTCGATTCTTCTAGACCTCGTAAGGTTCGTTTAGCTGTGGGCCATGAGGATTTCTCAATAGATGTATCTATTGAAGGTTGTGATGCTATTCATGTCAAGAATCTGGGGGTGACTGGGTCTTTGCTGCATAAGGTGGACAACAATCGATGGATGAGGGTTACTTACAAAAGCAATAAGTGGAATGTCTGGGATCGAGTTGGAGCCTATAACTCTAAAGCTCCAGAGAGGGCTACAATGGCAGGAATCTCAATTGTAAATCCAGTCAACCATTAGAGGACATGTGGGAGATATTCCCATGGATTTAGGGATCGCAGGGAGATTTCTAGGGATTTTGGTCAATTTCAAAAGATAAAAAAGATTTAGAGACCAAAGGTTGGTAAGGACTTATAGGTAACTGGAGGTGTTATTAGTCATCCTAGACTTAGCATGCCTATTATTCGGGATAGGGAGCTCACCAAGACCCCAACAAATATTAGAGGAAAAGGCAAGGTGGTAGGGTATTTTGATTTGGGTCTTAAGGATGGGTAGGATTTTTTGAATGGTAAGGACATAGATATGACAGGTGGCGGCGGGTTGATAGGGAGCTCAATCGATGAAGTCTTCCCAAGGAATGATTGCATTAGGATAGAGTATTTGGAAGAAAATACTATCTCTCATGCATCTTTCTCTGAGGTTAAGAAGATTGAGCTATAAAAAG